ACACACACACTCAGCTGTGTACTCACACACACACACACACACACACACACACACACACACACACACACACACACACACACACACACACACACACACACACACACACCCGCCCCAGCCATCTGAGTGCGTACGTCAAGGATGATGAACCAGGCGTCGCGGTTGCGGGACAGCTCCACGTATTTGAAGTACAGCTGTCACCGAATATCAAGGGGTTTTTGTTTTGGGGAGGGGGGGGGGGGTGGGGGTGGTTTGCGGGTTTAAAGAGGGAAAGAAGGGCGAGGAGGGCGTTGTGGTGTTATGGGCAGATGGGTGGCGTGCGAGCAAACCATACCTAACCACGAGCCAAACACACAACAAAGCACATGTAACCAAAGCAAACCAAAGCAAGCGACCTCGGCAACAACAACTCACACCCCCTCCCACGCACACAAAAAGCATATCACGCTTGCCTTGAGTGCAGTGAGCGAGTCCTCAATACTGTCGTGGCCAATGGTGTCTGAGAGCTGCGTGTATATGTCCAGGAAATACCACGCCAGAAACTTGAGCGACAGCCGCCGTGAGTCACTGTATCGATGTGAGTGTGTGTGCGTGTGAGGGAGAGAGGGAGAGAGAGATAGAGAGGGAGAGGGAGAGAGAGATAGAGAGGGAGAGGGAGAGAGAGAGAGAGAGAGAGAGAGAGAGAGAGAGAGAGAGAGAGAGAGAGAGAGAGAGAGAGAGAGAGAGAGAGACAACAGACGAGTGGTGGTGGTGGTGGATACAGGGGTGGAAGGGGTGAGGCGGGACATGTGGCGTGGTGGGACATGTGGTAGATATTGTGTGGGAGGGGGAGAGACGATGAGTAGCAGTTGCGTGCGTGCACATGGCAGAAAACGCACATACGACACGCTGTCACACGCCACATACACAACGCCTCCACACACTGTGTGGCGTCGACATTCACACTGCATCCGCAACGACAGAGACCATGATGATGACAGCGACAACAACAACGACAACGACAGAGACCATGATGATGACAATGACAAACGCACGGTTTGTAGAAGAGGTCGACGGTGTCGAAGACTTGTTCTGGCGGCAGTACCACGTTGATCACACGAAAGTCTTTTCGAAGGCCGTGGCCGACAAACCGCACACCCAGCGCAGCAAGGAACAGAACCTGACACACACACACACACACACACGTGTGTATACGTGTGGCGGAAGGAGGGGATGTGATTGTGATGGTGTGCGAGTGCGGGTGGTGTGTTGTGTGGTGTATCAGCAAACTCAAGCGCAAGGCCTATCGAGCTCTTCCGTAGACACACACACACACACACACACACACACACACACACACACACACAGCAGCGTGCAGTACCTTTGAGTATGTTGTCTTGAGCCGCGTGAGGTGGCGGGCAGACGTCTCTGGATTCAGGTCCTCTTCACGGATGCCGGAGAACCGCGTCACATAATCAACAACCTTGATTGCATCGTGTGGGTTGGTTTGGTGCGGCGGGATTATACCATGCAATGTGGCGGTGCTGTTAGGCGCCGAGCGCTGACATCAAAATACACACACAAGCAAGCAAGCAAGCAAGCAAGCAAGCAAGCATACAAACAAACAAACACAAACAAACAAAAAAACAACAACAAAAAAAAAACAAACAAACAAACAAACAAATACATCGGCCACAACACGTCATGCTGTGTGGCGACGGACCGGTTCTGTCATGGTGAGGTAGTCGTCGATTATGGCGCGGCCAGTGAGCGGTCCGCTGCCGGCGACAACACTCAGCCGCGCCAACGCAAGATGCGCAGGCTTGATGATGTTCTTGCGCGTTTGCGTGCTGGCGTACATTTCAGAGAGAACGAGAGTGCGTGCGTGTGTGAGTGAGGAGTGTGTGTGTGTGTGTGTGTGTGTGTGTGTGTGAGGAGTGTGCATGCTCGCGCATGGGTGAGTATATGCGCATGCTCGCGTGCGTGTGCGTGTGTGTGTGTTTGCGGAGACACGGACAATACAACTAACAGAAGACGGCGAGCACAAAATACAAACTCCACAAAAGCACAGCGCCCACGTGCCCCTCGCCTCCCCTCTTGCACCCATCCTCTTGTCTCCCCTCTTGCACCCCTCTCGGCGCCCCCCCCCTCGGGTCACGGCGCACCAGCGTTTGCCCACCTCCGAATCTTTGCGTCCTGCTTGCGCAGGCTGACGAATTCTGCGTCAATGGCAACAAGATCCCCCTCCTGCGGAAGATCGTGCTCGGACAGCTGGTGGAACGACGGCGCACTCATGCGCAGCGCCAGCGACCTGTGACGACGACGATGATGACGACCATGATGATGATGATGATGATGATGATGATGACGATGATGACGATGATGATGATGACGATGATGACGATGATGATGATGTGTGAGTGTGTGTGTGCGAGTGCGTCAGCGCACGAGAGCACACACATAAACGCACAAACCAACGACCAAACGACCAAACGACCAAACGACCAAACGACCAAACGACCAAACGACCAAACCAAACGACCAAACGACCAAACGAACGGACACGTCCAGGTCTCCCCACCTGTCTGTGAGGAGTCGGTGCTTGAAGACGTGCACGGGCGGGACGGCGGCATCGAAGAACGAGGCCGTCGTCCCCGGCCGCGCATACATGAACACACACGGCACCTGCATGTATGCACACACGTGTGTGAAGTGCACAGTGGTTCAGGGGTTGAGGAGCGTGATTGTGCGGTGGGACAAGGCACACAAACAGGACACAATCACACACATACACACACAGACACAATAACACACATACACACATACAGAGACACCGAGACATTCAAGCATGCCACAATGCCACAATGACACAAACACGTGCGTCGCTCACCTTCCATGCCATGTCGTACATGACGGCATCACGGAGGGAGCCGACGGAGACAACAAAGTCGTTGAAGATGAGCCACTGCGACGCCAGCCCAATACCGCGGTGCCGGAGGAACGGGTGCGGAACCTGTGCACGATCGATCGTACACAGGGGGGGAGGCGGTGGTGGTTTTGGTTTTGGTGGTGTTGTTGTTGTTGGTATTTGATCATAGATATCATGAGTTCAAGTTTGACAAAGACACGGCAACACAGAAGACAATTACACACACACACACACACACACACACACACACAGACACACACACACACACACACACACACACACACAGACACACACACACATGGACACACGTCCCCCCCCCCCCACACACACACCTTGACGACGGAGACAGAGTGCTGGTTTCCAAATTCGTCCTTGATGTGGAACACGGCGCCAACCAGCTCATACAGCACACGTCCGTCCGCATCTTCCTGTTGCTGCTGCTGTTGCTGCTGTTGGTGGTGTAGCAACTGTGCGTCGGCGTGTTGCAGTGTTGTTGGCGTCACCAGCTCACCAACCACGCGGCGACCCGCCTTGCCATCGCCCTGCTTGCCGCCCTTGCTCTTGCTGTTGCTGTTGCTGCTGCTCTTGCCTTGGCTG